TATAATTGAATCCATTTACTCTCTCATGAAAAACTCCTGTCCAGTGCTCAGTCATTATGAAAACTTCTCAAAACAAATTGAGTAAAAGAAGAAACAGAACTGAAAGAGACCACCCAAAGTACTAGAACCAAAATAAGCATTATACCTCTCCTTTTCCTTTATTTCAGAGCTTGCATCCATATTCCATGTCTAGGAAGAGGAAAAAAGACCACAGTTATTAGTAACTGTCAGAGATCTTCTATAATAACTATTCTTTTCTTTTTTTTTTTTTTTTTTAGAATTGTCAAAAATAGGTGTTTGTGAAAATCTTCTCTGGAGTAGTCTTCCCCATGCAAAGAAAGGCAAAGGGGTGTCTTTTTTGTAGTGCTGATCTACAGTAATCTGTTTTAACAAAACAGTCATAGTGCAGTGGAACTTGCTGTTGTCAATGTTAGATTGTTCCCACATGTTTTAACATCTGCTTGGTGTGTGAAGCCAAAGTTTCTCCTCTTTCTGTAGGCATTCAGACCCATTTACTTCATAAGGCAGCGTCAGGATGAATGACATGAAATTAAAGTTGAATTATTTAGCTTTAGAAAAATGCACAGAACAATACATTACTGAAGAATGCCCAGTTGAAGAAACTGAACGAAAGTAACTGCAGGTGGTCTCATCTGTCACCCGTGTACTTGGCCATGACTTCCCGCTTGTAGAGAAGGTGAAGATGCCAGTTCTGAGCAGAAATGTTGCAGTTTGGTCCAGTATCTATTGTGCAGTTTTTGATGCAGATGACAGGACTCCAATAACATACCAACTGCATGGCTTTGATTACAATGGGAGTTTGTCAGAGAATTCTTTAAAACAGCCAAGAGGAAATTTTGGCAACAGCAGTGTCACACAAACATGGGTTTTAAATAGTCTGAAGTTGTCAGCAATTTATGAGTTCTGTTTAACAGCAAACATGGAAGCTCAGTGGCTCTTTCCCATGGAACAGAGGGAAAATGTGGTTGGCTTTCTAGGCACAAAAGTGAAATACTGTGAGGGTACCAAAAGACTAAACCACTGGTTCCCAGTAGTTTTTATAAGCAGTTAAACTACCCTCACCATTTATTGTGGTCATGCACTACCATCAAACTTTGGCCACTGTTGACAGTAGTCTGCGAAAGAGCTTCAGGCCACCTTCATCAATTTGCGCAGTCAGACCAAAGCACCTGAGGAGTTGGTTTTACAGGAATGGCAGGGACAAACAGGGGTAAATGCAGGCTATGAGTTATTTAGGAAATATTATTGCAGGTGTAGTTAGCATCCAGTATGTTAGAACAGGGGTGCAGACTTGAAGAGCTGGGAATGTCCCCTAATTCAAGCAGAGCAAGAGAAGGTACCAGTCTCCATCTCTGTTTTTACCTCGAGGAGTTAAGGTCAGCAATCTTCGATCTTTTTTTACTGCTGAATGCTAGTCATTGGTTATAGTCCACTTTGAAGTGGTACTATGAGGAATGCTGAAAACTGTAGAATCTGAAACAATTTGATTGTGTTCAGGAAAATTCCTTTCTAATGCCTGCAAAGCTGTTGATTGTTTAGCTCATTGCACAAAAAAACCATATAGTCATAATGGAGTAAGGAGGGATGGGGAGAGCTGGTGAAAAAATGTTGAACCAAGTTTTAGCTGAATAGCTTGCAGCAGAATTGTGTGTGCTGTTAAATAGGATTACTGCCACGGAGCATGGTGGTCAGGGAGGTGATGTTTGGAGGACTGTCTCCTTAGAGCTGACTGTTGCTCCTTCGCCTCAAGCCTCTCCTATCTTGGCTGTTGCTGCCCTGTGTTTTATTCTGTCTGCTGCCACCAAGACCGGTGTTTTTGACAGCATCAATACAGTTTTCTTGAGAGGTCTTGGCTCTCCCCCAGCCAACTGTGTGCCCATACAAGTCAAACCACACAGATCCTTGCTGTTCTTTTGTCTGTCTCTGTACAGTACCTACTCTTCACCTCTGGGGAAATGGGGAGCTTGTGTTCTGCTGCTGCTTAATGCAGAAGTACTGATGCATCCATAAAAATTGGCAGAAATAAAGGTAAGCTTGTGTTTTTGTCTGGCCAGTGATTCAGGTCATGTTTTTGTTTAAATAGTAGACTATCAGCCACAGAGTGATAGTCAAAGCTCTTAAAAAGGGACTGAAATTCCATATTGCTTAGGGGAAAAGCATTTGAAGCAAATTTATATTACACTTTGAAAACGAATTGAATTTTCGTGTACATTTGGCTGCTCCATTCACTGCTGTGTTCTTTCGCCACAGTAGTGACTTATTTATAAAGCATCACCTGCTATACTTTGGGGTGAAAGAGACAGATAATTTGGTTGATAAAAAGATGGTATTTTTGGAGACCTGGAAGGCAACATGAGAAAACAGACTACTTCAAACATAATCATCCCTGGAATGGAAAATAGAGTACAGAATGAAAATGATGAGGCAGAACCTTTGAGGGGAAAAAAAGAAAAAAGTCTGCTTTCCAGGCTGGAGAGGGTTCACTGTGCTGAAAGGGGATGCTTTTCCCATTGGAAAGCACTTCAGTCTGAGTTTTTCTCTTGGGGCTTTCACCTGTATTACTGGGTGAGATAAATTACTTGCATAAGCTCAAGAATACTGGGGGGTTTTTTTGTTTTGTTGGTTTGATGTGTTTTGCTTTTTTTTGGGGGGGGTATTGGGGTTGTTGTGGGTTTTTTTTAAGGACAGTATATCATTATGGATTCTTGGATTTCCAAATCCAGGAATTTGGAAAAATTCCATGTGAATTGCTGTTCGCCATTTTTAATTTGGCATTTGACATTTTTCATTTTGCAGTGTTAACACTTTATGAGCAAAAGCATTAGAAAAATACGAAGAATAATGACTGGAAGTGAATAATTTTAGACCCTCCGTCTAATTGTCAGTTCTTATGAAACACTGTTGATTTCTTACGCTAATTTATATTTGTGTATATATGTATATACATACACATGATTTTTCAGAGTCATATTGATATAAACATACTGATATATACATGGTGATTAAGCACACTTTTTACTTCATTCCAGCAATAATATTTTTTTCAACCTGTTAAAAAATCACATTTTCTGTGGTGTCTTGTGTTCTGTGGAGTAGGTTGAGCTGTTTCAAGGAGAGGAAAAATAAACTTGGATGACGTCAGTCTGAGGCAGCTCACGATGTGCACAGCGAAGAGTGCTATCAGCATCCCCTGCATGCTAAAAAAAAAATAACAGATAAACTCCAGGAGGATATATAATGCCCAGGTTCATTTGCTTCTGTTGATGAGGGCTTGTAATGAGAGTGCTCTGTGTGCATCCATTCTCATTTATTAAAAGGCTTTTTTCGTTTAATATCTACTTACACTTTTCTATTTGCTCATTTAATTATGTAGACTGATGTGAATCAGAGTAGAAGCTGTTTCCATGCTGAAAGATTAGTGACATGGCAATATCTATTAACAACTGCAAAAATGCATACAGGACTGCATTAATATTTTTGTGGTTGAAATGTGTACACACAGTGGCAATGGTATATTATACAAAAGCAGATTTTATTTGTGGTGTATTGACGGTGCTTCTATAATTAACTTCCACTGACTTTCTCAAGGGCTTAGTCAACCCCATGGAAATTTTAACTTTATCTTAGAAAAACTCTTTGTAAATGCTGATACATTTGTAAATGCTGATACAAATGCTGATAATGGGAGTGGGTCTTTGATGGGTAGTGTGTACTTTGCCCTGTACAGTTCTCTCCACGTTTGTTTTTTTTTTCTGTCGTTGTTGTTGTAGTCTGAGATAATGAACAGCTTTCATTTTCCTTTTATCGAAAATACAAGGATCTTTCATGTAGTAGAATTTAATAAGGTAAGGTGTGACATGGCAGGAAATCCCACTCTGGGATTACTCATCATTATGGTAGTTGCTGGAAGTGACTGAAATAGGCACATAGGAAAAGTTACAAAAATTCAGTGAATTCTGATGTCAGAAATGATCAATTTAAGAACAAGAATCACAGTTAGGTTTGGCTTTTTGCAGCACATATCAGAGAGTTTTGAAGATGGAGAGGTTGGACTCCCTTTTTAGCTGTTTATCTTCAGAGGGAAAATCAGCTCATTTATTTGCTGTTGTATATTGAGGGAAAATATTTTTTTTCTTCCACTTCTAGCTTTGTTACAATGTTTTATTGTAAATTTGTCACTCCTTCATTTACAACTGTGAGACTGTGCAGAAGGAATGATGAATTTAAGTTCTTTTATCTTTGCTCCATATTTTCTTTGGAAGTTTTTCCCCAAATGGGGGAGAAAAAAAAAAGATAAACTAATTGTGCAGATTAAAAAACCTGGGATATATTCCAGAAAAAAAGGCAATGGTTGACTGAAACTGACAGGTGGTTTGCTCTGAAAGACAGCACTTAGCTAAGAGAGTTGAAGACAAAGTGTATAGAACCATTAATTCTGTGTCAATGTTTTATATAAAGTAGCATTAAGAGGTTATTTTCAGGTCCACCTTCCTGCATACTTTTTACTTTCACCATTATGTATACAAACCCTGTGATTTAAAGCATTTCATATTTCCTTTTAGTTGAATTTTATGTTTCCTGGTAGGATAAAAAAACTCAAACAAACAAAACCAGCTTCTTGCTATCAAGCCAGTCCCTGCTAGTGTATGTGTAGAGATTGGAAGGCTGTTCTGAAGTGGTACAATGGTATTCCAGCCTTTGTGATAAAAGTGATTTGTTACTGTTAAGAAAATATAAACAACTAGCTTATATGGTTTGTAAGCAGTGAGAAATCAATCCAAATGTTACAAATCATAAACCCATACTTTCCACAGATGGCCATTTTGCATCGTTGCGAGGCAGTTCTGTGATGTACTGCCTTGCTTTTTTCAGGTGGGAGTGAGGAGCTACACATCTGAGATGCAAATAGAACACATTATGTATAAAAGTGAATTATTTTAATATGAATACAGGCATGAAAACCATGTTTTTGCTTTCAGATTTAACAAATCAAGTAGAGACAATCGGACTGAAGCTGCAGAAAGTAACAGCCGAGATGGACCACTACAAAAAGCTGTTAATGTAAGATTTCCATTTGCTTTATTGTTTTGCCACTGCACGTAAAGCTGTAACAGACCACTTTTTTTCAGAGAGCACTGCTTGTCATGGTGGTTTGAGAAGGTTATGACCAACAGAGAAGATAGTTTATCTTCATATTAAATGGTCTATATTTCTAACCACCTGACTGAGCACATCTGTCTGTGGAAGCAAGGCTTTCTTCCTTCAGCTGTTTAGTGATACAGCAAAGAAGAAGGTTAAGTAAGGTCAATCTAACACTTCATTTAACACACAAGTGTAGGATACATTTTGTGAAATACACATAACTTTGGGCCTAAAAATATATGCAGAAAGTAATATTTCACTTTAGAAATTTGGGATGGAGGGAAGGGTGCAATGAAACTAATCAGAAATTTTAGTATTTAGTCAGTGACTATGATTTCTTTTTTTAATTTGCACACCCCACCCCCAGTATAAACTTGCTGTGACTTATTCACCAGTATGCTATTGTGGTTTGTAATTTTACCATGTTGTGTCTATAGTTTGAAGTAAGAGTATGTAAAGCCTAAATTAATAGAGCAAAAATAGAATGTCATCAAATACTTGTCAGAGCTAACCAAGGTGTGATGACTGAGGAGAGAGCACTTAACTCACATAGAGTGAAAAACTCAACTTGCTGTGTCTTCAGCCCACTTGAAACAAGCAGTGCCTGCAGCAATGACTGCAGCAGTGGCTGCTCTGCTTCATATTGCTTTTAGATGCTGCTGCCCACAGATTAGGGGGAGAGCAAAAATGAGTCCTCTGTCAAAACTTGAGGAAATAGGAAAAAAGGTGCACCTTTTCTTGTGTTGTAATTGTGCTGTTGCACACTGTTCTTCTGGGTTATTGTTTCAATGGCCAAGGAAAGAGGTTGCTGCATTCCTTGCAGCCTGAGAGCTTTATCAGGGACCCAAAATCAGGCCACGTGACCTCCAGGGTCCCATCCAGACTCAGTAGTGCTCAGTGGGACCCATGTTGTCACCCCTAAAAGTTGTGGGACCCATGTTGTCACCTCTAAAAGTTGTGGGACCCAGGACTGCATGCTTTCCTGTATTTCAAATCCTTGTTGTTTGCAGGTAGCATAGAACATAATTCAGAAACGGCAGCACTTTATAGTTCACTTTATAACACTTTGTAATGCACTGCTGACAATAAAAATTAATGTTTCAAACATTAAGCTCCAGAATAATGAACTAGTACTGCCAATCTTGAGACCAGCTGTCATCAGTCTTTTTGTGTGTGTTCCTGAAATTTAAACAAGAATTCCTTCTTTCATGATGTGTACTTTCTGGTTTTGGTCCCTATGTTCAGAGGGTCTGATCGTAATGAAGTTGCAAATATTTGGAATGCTTAGCAACAAAGTATTTTAATGATAATACAAATATTGAGTATGAGAAAAAGATTTCATGAACATAGTTAAATAAACAGTAAAGGGTTTCCAAATGTAATATTAAAATTTCAATGTAATATGGGTACAATTTAATAAAATAACATATTACATATATGTTTAAATGTACATAGGAAGCTTAACCATGGTTATTAACTGGTGAAATGATGACATAATGACAAGAAACATGCAAAGTTTCCAGCCCTCTAAACTACTCATTTGTTGATTGTTCATTTTTATTCATATCTTGCAACAGGGATAAAAGTTTCAAGCAAGATCTCACTTCCTTATTTGCAGCGTTAAACTTGCTGTGAACCTAGGTTAAGCTGAAATTATATTGGAAGTGTAACTTCCAATTCCTTAAAAATGTTAGCTAGAACTGAAAGAACTTTTTGTTTCTTATTTGACTTCTAACTGAAATAGAAAATGCAAGTTAGATAATACATCAATAAATGATGTTCAGGTTGCTGCATGAGTAAAGGCTATCATTTCTTTAGACAATACATATTTTTTAATGTTTTAGGGTGAAATCAACGGAACTTGATGTCTGTCAAAATGAACTGAAAAAAATTAAATACGAAAATGGAATTTCCGAGTCAAGGTAAATGCTGAAATTATATTTCGTAACATACACGTTTTTGGGCAGTGAGAACAAAACTTCTATTATTTTAGTGCAGGTTTTATACACTTTTTTCTCTATTTTTGTGTTCAAGACCCTAAATTTAACTTCATAAAGAAGACATAGGTTTTTGTCTATTATTTTATTTTCCAGGTACAAATTACTTCTGTATTTAGTTTCTGTCTGTGAATAAGAATATAGTAACTGCCATGCTGATAGTTTGTTATTTCATCTGTAGGCTTACAAAAGAGCTCAAGGAAAAGGAGGAATCTTTTCTAATTTGCCAACAAGTATGCAAACATTTACAGGAAGAAGTAGCTGAGAAAGAAAGGAAAGAAGAAGATCTAAAAAGAAGAACCAGTCGATTAGAAAGTGAGCTGGAAGCCCTTAAAGCTCGTCTTAGACAAACAGAGGAAGAAATAGTGATGTTGAAACAAGAAAGGTAATCAGACTGGAGTCACCATGGGTAATCTCCTAGGACTGTCTTTTTGGAAATATATTAAAAATAGAGCATTCCTCCTCTAGCACATCCTGAGCCTCTCTCATGGTTACCAAAAGGACAGAGATTCTGTGAAGTACTGACGTGGTTCGTGCCAGTCAAGCTGCAGGAGAAGTGGCAGAACAAGGAGGGTGGCTCTGGGGCTAGGCAGACTGGGAGGGATCTGCTGCTCCCAGCTTTGTGGTGCCTTGCCTGTGTTTTCAGGACAGTCCTGCCCTGCCACTGCCCTCTCTCATCTCCTGATCTTTGAAAGCCTTGGCAGCCCTGACCTCATATCCTGGAATTTTGGAATTCATCAGATGGATTTTTTAAATCATTGCAGTATAGAGAAAACTTGAATGAAAAAGAAAGAAAGAAAAAAATAAACAAAGAAAAGGGGAAGTAGCAGATGGGAAAGCCTTGCTTTGGAGTCCAGGGCTTCAGCTTAAGCTTAATCAAAACAGCCCTTTATTGCAGTTGTTATAGTTGCTATTTGTTATGTAAGGCTTGTAGAGCAAGAGTCCCAGAGAGTTTGAATTACTGTAACTTACATTATTAGCAACTTGCAAACCATAACAATGCTATAAATATTAGTATATCCCAGTTTATTGGATGTGGTCTAATATTTGATAAGAGTACAGACTTCCCACCAGTTTGGAGGTTCTCAGATATCAATGAAGCTGCCATTTTCCCTGTAATTACTGTTCAGAACTAGAAAACAAAGCACTGAGCTTCTGAGGATAGTCTTTCTTGACACAGTATCTGGTTTGAGTGCCTTTGTTTCAGACATCTGCACTTACCAGCCTCAATCCATATTTTTTAATTTATTTGAGTGTAATCTATATACCCAATTTTATTCCTGATAAACACAGACTTGTTTTTACCATTTGAAAGTATCTTGCTACTAAATTTTCAGTTACTGATAAGTTAGCTTGTCTTTTGTTAGCAAAAGAGAAAGTCTGTCCCTTGCTTAAGACATGGCAGTACATTATTTGTTTGTTTTGTGTACAATGAAGAAGTGGCTTTTGGAGAAGATAAGCATTTTCTGAGTGATGTACACCAAGAGGCATTACGCTACTTTCATATTTAAAGTGTTTGAATATTCCCTGTACTTCAGTACCTCCATGAAAAGATATTACATGTTAATTTAAGAGTATTTCTCTTCTACTTAAACCACAGATACATGAGTTGTTCCAGTCAGTACCTTGCTAATAATCTAAGTTACAAGAATTTAAACTCACACGGGCTTTTGCTCTACAAGCCTCGCATAACAAAGAGTAACTCTAACAATAGAAAACACTTGGTGTTTTTAATTCAAAACCTGACACTTTTTTTTTAATTAATGATAGTAATAGTCCAGGTTTGTTAAATACAACATCTCCTGTTCTGAATATTGTAACAGTTTTTCAGTGTCCTTCAAAATTTGACTTAAGAAAGACTAAAACTATTGGAGGTTTGAATATGTGTGTGTGTAAGAAAGATCAACTATAGCATTTTCTATAAAGTGTAAAATTCAGAAGGCATGTGATGGCATTATGCAAATGCTAACTAGTGATTACTGCTGTGCCTCTGGGCTCCAGGCAGGGTTCCTGGGCTTGTTGCATTGAATACTAAACAAAGAGGAAAAGATGAGCCCTTGCCACAAAGGACTTAATTGCAAGAAAATGGCATACTACCAGTCTGTGCAGAGCACATATTTACATATGAGTTTTTGTGATTTCTAGGGAGTTAATGCTGATTTCTCATCAGAACAGAACAGAGCAGCTGCAGGAAGCATTAAGACAGAAGATGCGGAATGAAGATAACTGGAGGGAGAAGGTAATACTGGATGTGCAGTTTCAGTTTCTTTTTTTTTGTCCAGTTGTAGTCAGCTGTCACAAATGAGTACAGTAAGCCAGATAGCTGTCTCCACAAGTGCAAACATGTCAATAGTATTCTTTGCACAAGGGGCTTTGCACAAGGGGTTTTAATGGGTGATCTCTCCACATAGATTGAAACTGAATGCAAAAGGTATTTGGTATGTTTACAGACTTGGCAGATGTTCAGGTCTGATGAGGTCTGATCTGCAAATTCTCAGGTTTCAGGGTATTTATGAAGTGTCTGTGTTAGGAATGCACTCCCTCTGATCTTCCAGCTCCGTCCTTTCCCTGTGTGCTCTGCAGGAGAGGGTGCAACAGGAAAAGCCCAATCTCGTGGGCCATTGTCCTGCACAAGCTCCAAGGAGGTGTGTGGGGCAGTCTGGGTTACAAACTCTGAACCACAGTTACGCATGGGGAACCACATCAATGCCTGGATTTGTTTCCTGTCATATCTGGAAGAGAAGTGTAGGAAAGCATGTATTTAATACTGAAGTAGGTTCCCAATAAAAACAAGGTTTGGTATTGTTGACATGATGGAGATAACACAGGGCCTTCCTTCTTGCGTGTTAGGTGAACTGAAACTGAAGATAGCTATTTTTAAAACAAATCTATAAAATAAATAATAAACAGGTGGACAAAAATATTCTTTCCTTAGAAGACATGTATTTGCAAACCAAAGCAGAGCTTAACAAATAAGCTGTGGTACCACAGCAATTATGGAGCTATCAGCCACTGACAAATAGCAAAAGGCAGTGGAGTTGTTAGCCATACAGCTGATGAGGAAGGCAAGAGGTGTGTGGATACCTGCCTGGTACTTACAGCAGGTACTATGCAGGATATATGTTAATGCCATCCCTCGAACGATTCTGTTATTCACGGCAATAGGCAAGTGAAGCGATAACATGACAGTTCTACCCTTTCAAAGTTCTCTGCTGACATAAAATTTGTTGCTGGCCATCAGCTGTGATGGGGGCATGGGGATGAAGATAAGGAGAGCAGTGAGTAGGTGGAGGAGTGTGGTTAGACTGGGAAATTGGGCAGGGAGAAGTGGTAGCAGAAAGAAGGGGTGTGGCTCATCCATTCACTTGAGTTGGGAGCCCACACAACAAAGATCTAAAGATGTTCACAGTGAAAGTCCCAGTGTTAGAATGGACCTGTAGGGTGAGAAAGGCTTCTGCTCTTTCTGATAACTGCTAGCATCACTGGCTCCTTTCAGGCAGTCACATCTCTGCCACATAGACTCTTGCTACCTAATCTGCTGAAGTTTTTTACTTGCCTTCCCTTCAAGTCAGAGCAGTATGAAAATAAAGACTTCTGTGAAATTTACTATGGAAAAAACCTCTGTATTTAATTTGAAAAGACTTGACACTGCTATGACTTGGCTTCTCCATGAAATGGACAATCCTTTGTTATTTTATCCATTGCCTGTCACAAAAGACTGCAAGGCCATTTTCATACACCTTCCCACTTAGGCTCTTTCAGTAATTGGACAATGGCTCCTTTCACAGTGAGGAGAAAGGGGAAGGTGGGAGGGAGAATGATACACCTTCTATATGTGCATGCTCCTTTATACATGCCCATTTTTCGTTTATTTAATGGAGTGAAGTTAAAAAATAAATCAAGTAAAGGCTACAAATGCAGAATGTGGTTAAAATACAGCCAGGATGACACCCCAGATTCAGGGGAAACTGACTTGGCTGGGGAGTAGCAAGTGCCATAGAGATTAGGTCTAGTCCTGGTCCATGGGTGTAGGATGCAACGTTACAAAAGCAGCTCAGGTACAGGGAGCACCCCAGCTGCACGCCTGCCCTCAGGGCACCTTGCTGTGGCCATGCCAGTGCTGTGCGTGTTGCGCAGGGCTGCTCCACAAGCATGAACTCCTTTTAACGTGTGTTTTCTTCTTAGACAGGTTCCTTACCACTAGCTGCATCTTTAATTGGTATTATTACATTCTACAAAGTTAGGTTATAATTCATTAGTCATCTTTTAGTATGTACTTGGGTTTGGGGTCTTCTGTGGAAAAATATTTTCAGCTGATTTAAAAACTATATGTATATGCCCACTGTATGTGCTAGTTGGATAGGTTTCTTAGTTAATTGCACACCTGGTTGGAATGTGGCAATGCTACAGTTCCTTATTTATACTGGGCTTTGAGCAGCTCCACTGCCGAACAGCGATCTCAGGAATCAGGACTTTTGGATCTGCTCTGCAGGGCAGGTTGCTTTTTCTTGGAGTGTCTGGTCATGCTGTGAAGTTTTGAGCTGGAGACTCGAACTAGGATTGGAGCGTCCAGCTGCCAGTTTCTTCCAGTGGGATTTGGAAAGTGGTTTGTCACGAACAGCCGTGAGCATGTAAACTGTGTTTTAATCTGCAGTTTTTTTACACAAGCACCAAAAAACCCACAACCCAACCTGAACTGAATTCAAGAAATATAATTAAAAAAAAGAAAATCTGTGAAGGAAAAATTGAAAGTGTGTTGAACAATAACTGACTTTTCTTATTTAAGACTTACATAACTGGTGACTAAAATTGCTGTCGTCTTCTTTTTTTAAGTATGTGATAAGTGTCTGAAAGCTTTATTTAGTCTCTGGAAATTTTTTCGACTATGAGCAATTAAGATCAGTTACATTTCTTTTAAAACTCCTTAACCTTTCTGTCACAGGATATAATTTTAGAATGAGGTCACGCTGTCTGCATAACCACAATGTATTTTTCAACCTGGCATTAAAACAAGATAAAGACTGCTACTAGTAAGAGAGAGCAATTACAACTTTGGTATTACAGCCATTAAACTGTACTGAACAGCAAGTGCTCTAGAAATGTTCTCATCAGACAAAAGAATTAGAAATATGACAAAGTGACAAAGTTATCTTTTTCTTGGGTCAGCGTGCCATTGAATCAGTATAAAATGTTCCATTTAAAATACAGATAAACCTTAAACTGGTTTAGTGGAACAAAAACAAAAAAATCTCTTCTACAAAATATTTTCATATTGATGTAAACATTTATTTTATGGATTAATGAATGAGGGGCATGTATGTGATTTTAAAGCAATTAGTGGGGGTTATGTTTTCTTTGAAGATCAACTGCCATTTTTTTTCCCTGTTCTGGTTATCAACTTTATTATCTTCAAGTGTTAAATGTGAAAAATGCTTGTATAATTTTTAAAATTAGCTCAGTTTTTTTATACTGCCTTTATTTTTTTAGTCTTTTTAATCAAGTAGCTTCCAGCATATGATCTGCTTCTATGATAGTAAGTAGAGTTAATAAATTAGGTTTTCTAGAATTAGAATCCTAACTCCCATATCTAATAATGTAGAAAATATATCTACAATAGTAATAACAATAATAGTATACTTCTAGGATCTTACAAATATACTAGTTTAAAGCTAAACCTTAGTGGGGGATTTGTGCCTATTCCATGACCAGAATTTAGGTATATTTTTATTTAAAAAATAATTAAAATATTTCCAATTTATCTTTTCCCAAAAAAGAGTTAGGGGAATTTGTTTTGCTTTTGCTCATAATTAGTGTGTGAAATTAGATAATTGTAATAAATATTATTCTGGGCTTTCTGCTTTTAAAAATTCTAAGTAATTAGACTAGTGTTGTGCATTAATGTGTCTTTCATATTCTTTTTGCGTGCTACAATTAAGTCCATTAGAATTCAGCCTGCAGAAATTAAATATTAACACAGTGGTTTAGGAAAAATATTTTTCAAAATACAGCCTTCAGTATTTACTCCAGAATCCAGGCTTTTATTTTCAGGAAATTATGGCTGAATTTTCAAATTTGCATTTATAATATTAAATGTGTGAGATGCCTTAAGGACTGGGATATTTAATTTTATGATTTTACCCAGAATTTGCAACTCTTTTACTTTTATTTCTTAACTTTTTGGTCCAGAGCTTGTCCCACATATCTACCATCAGTATGGTGTTGCCTGGACCCTAAAACAAGCTGGAGCTGCTCGTTGCTCACCTTGCACCATGGACCCTCACTGTTCCTGGAACCCTGGCTTGGTGATGGGGCTAGCACAGCGGCTGCATGCTGTTGGCAATGTCTGGAGAGGCAGGCATCCCGCCACATCATCCATAGGGATCCCTAAGCATGCTCCTTCCCCTAGATTTCTGGTATTTACAATGGATTTATGGGAAGTGAGACATGTTATAAAATAGGTACATGGTGCTAACACGCACTGCTCCTCTAAAGTGCGAGATAGCACATATGGAGTATGTGTCATCTGAGTGTGGTCCCTGGGAGCAGACAGATAGACATTTTATATGGTAAATTGCTATTCGCTGACAAGGCTGAATGGTAAAGCATGAATAAAAAAATGATTTTATAAGGAAGAGTTAACATGTTTAATATTGAGCTTATGTCAAGACCCACTCTTTGGGAATGGGTCTTGACATTTCATGACCAATTTTTAGCACAGTAGATGTTATATACTGTGAAATGTATCATTGTGCTGCATTTGAAATAATAACAAGCTGAGTTTTACCTCCAGAGGGAATGCATCCAGCAAAATAATAATCTATTTTAAGAACTAGCTAAGGATTTGTAATTTGGTGTTTTCATAATGATTTAATGTGAAGTTCAGCTGCCTAAACTTAGGCATCTAGCACCACTTGAGACACCATGGGGCTTGTGAGACATCTGGGGCTGCTGGCTGTTACTCAGCTCTGGTGCTCTGCGAAGCAGGAACTGTCCATGCAGCTGTGAGCCAGTGAGAAGCAGCAGCTTTCCCTCACCAGGCTCCAATGTTGCAATCATTTTATGTGTTTCTTCAGTGCCCAAAATCTTAGTCTGCCAAATTTCACATCACTTTATTTATGCCAGTGTGGAATGTGAAAAGTATTTTAAGATGAGTTGCTACATATTGTTAAAAAACACTTGTTGCCTAGATGGAAATTGATCTGGCTAAAGGTGAAGCACAACACAAAGAAGCAATTCTTAAAATCAAGGAAGAAGCAAGACTGGAACTAGACATTGAGAGACAAAAGCAGCAAGAACTAATCGCAAAATATCAGAGAGATCATGAAGAGCTTCAGAAGAAGGTGTGTAACGCTCGTGAGAAAGGTTTTGTGACAGTAGATAATATAAACTAATGAAATATGGCATGGGAAGTAGTAAGACTTTCTTTATATGTATTCCTTTATCTAGATGATGATACAAGATTTTTTCCAAGCCTTTGCATATGGCATATGCTTCTTTAGTTTTTTTTTTTTTAAAGTTTTATATAGAAATTGTAAGTTTTACCTATAACCTTAGTTTTCAAAAGATTTATTGAAAATTCTGGAAAAAAATTAAAGAAATTTGATGAAATACATTGTTATTTGAAATGTGTTACATAGGGTTTTAAGGAGCTGGAAGTAACAGTTTGGCTTAGTTTACTTTACAAATATTTGACTGTGATTTTAAAACCCTGAAGAAATACTTCCAGTAAAGAAATTATGTTTTCTTCTGTTTGATCTTGGACATACTACTTAATGTCTCTGGTCTGAATGAGTTTTGATTCATTTACAGCTCTCTGATATCCTTTGAGCATATTATGTAAATTCAAAGCAATTTTTGTTTTTGTCTCTGAGGGCATGTATGTTTGCATTTCTATTTTTTTATCTCTTGAAATCAACATTCATCTGACACTTAATTCTACATATTGAAAGATATCCTCTGAATATAATTTTTGTTTAATCTAATGCAGATTCCAGGTTTAATATCCAGTGCTACCAATAGCTTAAGGATGGAGACAGAAATTCTTGAAAAGAAGCTACAAGATGCCCAGATCAAACTTGCAGAGAAAGATGAAGAGAAGGAAAAAGAAATTCAGAGCCTTAAAAGACTAATTACTGAACTTGAATTTCAGCTGTCGATGGAAAAGAACAATAATGAATCATTTCTGGATAATATGAGAAAAGAAATAAAACACAAGTCAGATGAACTGGAAAAATTAACCCAGGAGAGGACACAGCTGATTCACAATCTGAGTCAAGTTCAAGAAGAGGTAGGAACATGACTGAGGAAATGCTATGCTGCTTTTACTTAGAGATATGTGATTTCTAAAATCATTCAAAGTATCTATATTTCAGACACTGTTAAAGTGCTGATTTAAAAACCATTGAAGTTAAACTATTTGTAAAGCGAGTCCATCATAATGTCATAAGTACAATTTATCACAATATATGTGAAATTTTAAGTGCCTGCTAAATTAAAGTAGTTGTTTATTAAAATATATAAATATATAAATATATATATATTTCTCAGGTCCTGCAAGACATTTATTTCTTAGTCTTTAGCCTCACATCATGCTACATAAGCATGAGTCAACAATGAAGTGTTCTTCATGTTTTTAAAGTAAAAGACATGGACAATTCTCATTTTTAGAATGAAACAGCAGCAATCTTTCCAGTAATCCTACTTACTTTGGAAATCATTTGTAAGAAAAACAGTCATATGGTCAATATTGTTCTGAATGGCTTCTGGAGCAGAGACTGAATCTTCTAATGTGGGATTATGTGTGTGCATCCTGCGTGCTAATGGGGATGTATTCCACCTCCCACCAGTAAAGACACTTTGTCTTACACAGGAATGCATAAAAATGAATCAAAAGTGAAGTTTGGTGGATGGATATTCTTACCACAATCATTTGCTGAATGTCTGTAATATAATGGGGAGGGAGGAGAGAGCTGTACTGCTCTATGAGAAATGTGAATACAGTCAAGTCAGGGACTGTAGATCAGATTAGACTAGAGTGCCCTAAGTAAGTAAGTAAGTGGCAGGAAAAAAGATATTGGTACACAGTGAAAATAAAACTCTTCAAAATTAATTTAGGGCTTGGGTTGAAATTTATTTATTCCTTGAAAAAGTTTCAGAAACACTGTTTTAGTGAAGTTACAGTGATGTAGAGTGAATGTAGGTACATTCTGTCCTGTACCTATGGAAAAGGCTCTTGGAAAGGCACACGCTCTTCAAGTATTGGTCAGGAATTTCAGCAGGGTAAGGAACACACTGCTATCCTTTATTGTGAGATTCGTTGGCTCTGCTTATCTTCATTATGCATCCATTTGATCCTCTTACCACTGAAGAGGTTTAGATAGAAAAGTTTGTGTCCATGCGATGAGGTTGTGCGTTACTGAGGGTGTTCTCTGTATGACTTGATCATCACTCTCTGCTGGAGACTGCCTTGGTGGTTGGTTTCCCTTTCATTCTCATGGACCTCCTGGTGCCAGCAACAATCACTTGCTTAGAAGGACAAAAAAGTGGTTATTTTCTCTCTGTGTTAGTACTTTCTGTAGTTCTGACTTTTATGACTCAATTTAATGATGTCCCTTGTGGCTTTTTTTTTTTTTTTTTTTCATCTGGAAAATTAGTTTTTCAGGAAAATTAACATCACAAATAAGATCCACACAATATACAAATTTGTGGACTTCTGTAATACTGCAGCAGTTCTAGTTGTCTGCTTAGGGCCCAGTACCAGTCACTTACCATTTAGGTATTGGGAATCAAAGTGTACAGTTTGTGAAAACCGCTAGACTGAAAATCATTCGTCCCAATTATTTGGGAAATAATAATCAATAAAGAATGCCATCACAAAAATGGGTGCACAATTATTTAAACTACAGAGGAGGATAACTTCTTGGACATCTTATCATAACAAAGTGGCACAGTAATGTTTGACCTCTGTCTGTTGCTTTTTCCTTTCCAAGAGCAGAATTCCCAGTTTCCCCCTCACTGGAGGATGGGCAGGATATCAAAAGTAACTTCGGATAACTTGCCTCATATTTTCCACTGTCTCCTAAGGGAATGAAGGGTGTGTAAATGCTGATGTATGTCCTTTGAGTGACTTTCAGAGAAACCAAAATATGGGAAGCCTTGAAGGATTTGTGTGCATCATTACCCCTCCAGCCACACCTCTCTTAAGCCCAGGAGCTGAATAGGCACAGCTTTTGACTAATGTCATTTTGTAAAGCCAGTGTTTGTTTCTGTTTGCAGAACACTCTTCTCCAGGAAACAGTGCGCAGAGAGTGTGAGGAACGCTATGAGCTGACTGCAGCTTTGACTCAAGCCAGGGAACAAGTACTGGAACTAAAAAAACTCAGTGGAAACTTCCCATTATTGCCGTGTTCCCTGGCTCAGGGCAGCCTAACCTCCTCTGCTGCCCTGCTCGCTGATTATGGACAGAAAAGCCGCTCCAGTCCCAGCGCTGGGAAGGAAATCAATCTCTCTAGACAGTTTGGTATTTCAAGAGCTGCGAAGGCACCCACCTCTGGTAAGCGTAGCAGCAGCAGCAGTGTGTGCTTGCCGGCTCTAGCTCCACCACATCCTCCAAGAGGAAGGGCAGCTTCGCTCAGCGAGCCCAGGAGCAGGATCTCTGCAGTTAGAAGACGACAACTGAGTTAGCTCTGACAGCTATATACACATGCATAGTGCATGAGAAACCATTCCAGTGCATCAAATGGCTGTTTACTCGTGGACCCCAGGGTCAAATCTTAGCTGATTCAATTCATGCATTTCTACAAGTTAAAATTAAGTTAAATTTTTATATATTTTTATTGCAATACTGTTTCTTTGTCCATCACATATCAAAGTAATTAAATGCTATCTACACTTCAAGATGAGGAAAGTAAGAAAGAAAAAATACTGTCTCTTCAAAAGGAACATCTCTTCAACAGGTGTAATTAAATTAATGGGCAATTTAAATTCCTGGTTTCCCAAACCACTTAGTTGGAATTTTCCCATTTTTTGTGTTCTCCTATTTAACTTAATTGCTTTTTTCTGGTGTAAAAATGTGATTTGTTTGGTTAGAATCAGATTTTTGCAATTATTTAATCGAATAGTGTTATATTTGCGAATAATTATGCTTTAGGTCAGTGAAACTTGCTAGTTGGGGAGTACATATCGTTCAGTTTGAAAATGTGGCAAATCCATGCACGGAGTAGATTAGCCATTCACAGAGACATAGCTTCCTCTGTGTGCAAGTCTTTAAGTTGTGCTAGTTAACAAGGAGTGGAAGACTTAACACATTTCTTCCAAAAGATGTTTGCCTCTTTAATTTCATCAGAGAAGTGTCTTTATGTTAAGCATAACTTTTAGCTTCAAAGTGGACATTCTGGAGTTCTCTGTAAAATTGTTAGACAGGAGGATCAGTATCTTTATTTTACTCCTTGATACATGGAACCATGGTTTTTTTTGGAGCATAAAAAGCCCAGGCAAGGCTTGGTCATCTTTGTTAGCGTGCAGAGGCTGCAGAAGTAGCTGCTTTTTGAACAAGGCAGATCTACTATTGGAGCAGTTTGACGATGTGCAGTATAGGGTGGGCTGAGTGAAACAGCGATGGGTGACACAGTCAGTCTGAGATTACACTTACTGTATCACGAGGTACTTGAGTGTTTTGGTCAGGTAAGCCCAAACAGGGCCAGTTTGGTGATAGTAACCAGTTCTGGCAACAGCCCAGCAGTCATTGGACAAGGAGAGGTGATGAAGCAGGCCCAGGTCAGCCTGGCAAGTCCCCTGGGCAGGGGTAGACCTGCCACATTAGACCCAGGTCAGGCAGGAGCTGAGGCTGAGCTCTTTGGTTCATGGCAGGGGCACAGGGGTGGGAGCCCTAGGCACAGAGATGCTGGTGCCCCTGCTCTATTGAAAGACCACCATTCATCTTCTGAGACCATCACCTCTGACTTGGACAGAAACTTCGTGGAAGGTAAGTTAGAGGGGAACTTTTTGGAGACTCTCAGAGTGTGCATCTGAGCAGCTGGACAACTGAAATGGCCTGCTCCTGTTTAGGTCTGGGGACTGGACTTGCTCTTCCCTCAGAGTTGTGGAGTTGCTTCTTCATAGGGCACTTGACTTGTAAACCCAGACAGGTTTATGACTGCATCATGAACCTAGACCTTCTTGTTATTTCTTTGTAATGAGATAGTCCTATATGTGACAAAATGACAGCAGTAGGCCACATCTTCAGTGCTGGAGAAAATTAGAAAACCTTTGTTAAATCCAATGGCATGACAGGGGATGTATTTTATTCAGTAAAATCAGTGGAAGAAACAACAATTTTAGGTTTACCCTCTGGAGCTTGATTTAAAAACATGCTCTGCCTTAGTCAGCTTCTGTTCCCACTGAGACCATCAGTCAGCATTACCTGATTTCAGCAGATGCTGCCATCTTCTATTCACAAATTCCAAAGCAACAAAAAATATCAGTGTTATAAAAGTTGTTCTGGTAGCTGCTGCTGTGTAGAGATGGGGTTAGGTACTCTGCAGGCACCTGGCAGATTGAGTGGACTTGAACAGACCTCACAGAAACTGGTAGCAAGAACCAGCTGATTGGGGCATGTTAGAGTCAAACACAGATACCGTTCCCAGGAGAGTATAGACTCAGGTTGGTGGAGGTCAGAGTCTGACAATTTGGCTTTCCTCACTCAGCAGGATCCTGGTGGCTGCTGTGAATGAGGCCTGCTTGCCTTCTCTGATGTAGAAGAGCCCATCTGTAGCTTCCAACCCCATGTTGGAAGCATGTGCCAATAGGCTGTATTCTCCACAGGCATCCTCAGTGAAGGCTTGCCCAGTTTACTAGAACAGGATTATGCTCAATTGGCTTATGGCAACAGTGAGTCTTAAGCCCAACCAAGATACCTGGGCAGCAGTGGGAGCTGTCTACAGAACCTGCTGGCTTTGCTCAGATACTTGTATTTTTCTCAAGGATGTTGAAAATTTGGAATGTCAAAGATGTGAAAGCAATTCCACTGAAACACAAGCCTCAGGAAATACATTTTTAAGCAATCCCACAAATGCAGAAAGAAGGGGATGGGAAGCAGTCCCAAAGGCCTGTTTGGAGGATGGCTGGATGGTGCCCTGCTCTGATCAGTGGTGATGCTGATTTTTGTGTAGAAAAGATGCTGACATCTTCGAGCTTGAAAATTGTTATTCCACTGTCCACCCACAGTCTTCCTGTGCTGAAGTAACAGATTTTCATTGAGGTAGTTCTTAAAATTGTGAGCTCCAGAGCTCTGTGGTGTAGATTTTTCATAGCATTTTTAGATGAACATTGGTTGCATTTTCCAGTCTTACAAGATAGTTCAAGTTACATAAATCTGCTAACTGCTGTTACATAATGTTATGCCCTTCTGTAGCTACGGAACAGGCATCACAGTGAGCCCTGGGGTAGCTGATGTTGTAATGTGGAGTTTAATACTAGAATATTTCTGTCAAAGAGAAGGTGGGACCTTTACCTGTTTTGCCGGCTGAGCTCACAAGGATGCAGTAATGTCTGTGCTTACAGCAAAGCTACAGAGTATCCCAGTTCTATGGTGTAACAGCTGCTCCTTCCCTTGTGCTGCTGTGGCTGCGCAAACAGGTCAGACTTTCAAATCTGGGCTCCTGCCGACTGCTTCAGTGTTTATATCCTGTAGTGGCAGCAATAGTAAAGAATGACTCTGTGGTCGTAAGTTGCGAAGTGAGGAATAGCACATAAAATAATGAGAGCAGTCACAGAAATAATGTTTCTAGCATGAGGGAGTGTATAAATCATGGATCCAAACCAAGTCAGGAACGAATATTTCCCTTACTTCCCCTCCCTCAC